GATTTCCTCATATAGGTATAAATCACATGGGGAACGGTTAGAACTCGGTTCTGGAACCGGTTCGCGGTTCTGTGTTCAGTTCGGTTCAGAACCACTCAGAACCGGTTCCATAGTGGAACCGCCCCATCCCTGGGTGGCACACCTACTCACCAACAACCCTACCCCTATTTAAATAACAAATTCAGTTGGTCAAATAAAAATTAAAGAAACAGAACATTTATGAAAATGATTAATTTATACAAAACATACCAAACAAAATCTGAAACATATTATAACGTTTTTTCTTGTTGACCATATTGCTGACAAAGATATATATAATCATGTGATAATTTTAATCTATAGGATGGGGGGACTGGATGGGCAAAAACCCCTACCCAAAATTATAAATTGGTTAGTATCAAAGAAACAGAGAATTTAGGAAAAAAATAAACACTATTTTACAAACTTTCCTCTTAACATCAGAGCCCAAACACAATTTCAGGATCACAGATTCTCATTGCTTTGATGGATCTGGATGTTTATGCATACCTAATATCACAACTCTTCTGGTCACAGATCAATCCTTAGAGGTAGAATCGTTGCAGGTGACTTGTCAGCTAACATGGCAACCTTCTCTGGTCTGGGTGTTGTGAGGGAAAATTAGGTAAGATGTCCTTGATGATTGATGCAGTCTTGGTAAACTCCAGGGCAAAGCAACCCTCCCCTGGAATTCAGTTGTATCATCATATCATAGAGGGGTTGCGAGTCAGATTAGCCTTGTGTACATGAGGAACATGAGAATTACTGTAAGTGTTCAAGGCAAACGTGCTTCAACACTTGTCAAATTTCCAATAATCAACATTCTGTATTGAAATGTTTCATATTTGAATTGTTTCTTTTTTTATGGTGTGTTACCTTGACATCTTGTAATTAATTATATATTTAATATTAATGTTAATAATAATAATGATTACGAAAAGCCAAATACCAATCATTTGTTTACCATCTTGATGAGAATCTTATAATTACCCAGTAAGATCTGCTCCACATTTTGATTTCAATAAGACATATCAATGCAAATTAAAAAAAAGTTACCTCTGGTTAATTATTAACACGTCTTCAGAACCAAATCATGCCAAACATCACTCGCATTTTGTCATCTGTCAAAAAATAAATTGTTTTACAATAGGGGGTCCATACATAAATAATTAGTGGTACGTACTGTTGATCGATCAACAAATTCTTTTATTTCTTAAAAATGACAATCACAAAAGAAAAAAAGAAAAAAAATCAACAACAAGGTAACAAAGAAGAAGCACTTGCTGGGTAAGTATTGTTTATCATAAGAATGGTGGTGGCAGTTATCACCACCACTCGTCACTCTAGTTTTTTTTAAAAAAAGAATTGAGAAAAAAATTTTTTAGCGAATTATTTTAGCCAATAAAAGTTATTAAACTAAAAAAGCAAAAGAGCATAGTACCGGATTCCAGCTAATTTCTTTTTCTTTCTTACACTAATAAAAAAAGGTTGTTCCAAAAAAGTGCAGAAAAAAGAAAACAAGATACCCTAGATACTACTTTAATTGAAGCCAATAAGTAAGTGTTTATTAAATGGTGGTGGTTACGATTGCTGCAACTCATTGTTGTCACTTTTTAAAAAATGTCAATAGAACAAGAAGACTGTTGCAAGAAATTGATGAAAATAGAAACTATGCTGATTGTGATGTTAATAAAAATGGAGATAAAGTCAATACTGTATGTATTGTTCTATTTAAGGAAATTAATGATTAATGTATTAATGTAGTAAAAAAATTATTTTTAAGGTAAAAATACAAGGAATTCTTGATAAAGAAATAAATGTACAACAACATTTCAAAGATCTCTGCATTTTTTTTGAAAAATATAAAAATGAAAATCCACAAGATAAATTAGCTGCTTCGGGTATTATGGATCTAACTTCAAAAAGTATACTTTCAAACAAAGTTCCTGAAAAAACCTATAGAACATTTATTTCTTCACTAGACACATTTGATAAACTAATCCCTGATGAGGCACATGTATTTCTTGTTTATTTTTTTGGACAAGTAAGTATCACACAATCAATAAACAAATATTTATATATTTTTAGAATGAAACATTCATAATATGTTTGCACTTCCAATTCAAACTAAAAATTCCATTTTAATTCTTCTACTTTCCACCTTTCATTTCTAATAACATTATTATTACAACTAGGATCTAACATTAAACGAATGGTTTACTTGTCTAGAAAAATAGAGTCCTGATGGATTTAAAGAAAAAACTACAAAAATAATGATCCATGTTATTAAGAAAACATTTGACAATTTGTATGTTTTTGCATTTATTTTGTCAATTAATATATTGTCTTTTATTGACTTAGATTTTATTTTCAGCTTGCAAGCCTTTTTCCTGGGCCACATGAACCCACTGCAAAACATCAATTCCTTGGAACAACCACATTTGAATGACTTCATTCATCCTTGTATTAAGGCAGCATTATGGTTTTGTTCAGAAACCTATTATTCTTTGTAAGCTAAATATTATTTCTATTTTTTAATTAATATTCTATTAAGTTAACTACTAATTTTGTCAAACATTTCTAGTGGAGAAATACCTTCAATATATCATATAAAGTCTCAAAGAGGGGATGGTGTTGGTTTTACAACTGATGCTAACAGATATCAAATAATTTATGTTGAAGGCAGTCGGCCATATAAAGCAACAAAAAAAAAAGAAACTGCTGATTGTACAAAGATAGCACACAATTTAAAAAATATGTATTCTAAGATTATTAAAGATAGAGTTGAAAAAAGAAAAAATATTATTCCTGAAATGAAATTATTTGGGGCACACAGTTTTAAATTGAATGTGTTTTTATATTTCTTGGATTTTGTTGGTAGGCATTTTTTTGACTTAATCATGAAATCGTTATGAAGTTGAATCTAAAGATTGTATGTTCAAACCAAATAGGTCACTATCAACTAGTGATGTTAGCCGGCTAATAATCTGCATGCAGAATTTCTAAATTTGGTAATAGATTTATGCGTTACTTTCTTGTTATAGAAATAAAATTACCAAATTAGGTAGTAAACGGCTTAGCCGGCTAAGGATTTTTAAACGGCCAACATCACTACTATCAACTTGTAGAAATAGACAATGTATCTCTTCCTCAAGACATGTCAGAGATAAAAGACTTTGTCAATTTTTATGAAGCCATAATTAAATGGGCAGTAAGTGTTGAAATCATTCATGTTGTAATGAAATTACTATAATTCAAAACATGACTAATTTATTCTATTGTCATTAGTTATTGACATCTGAATTCAAACTTAAATCATCTGGTCCAGAATCAAGAATATGTTCATCTCGTTTATCTTATAGGTCAAATTTAAGAAAATCAAATGATTTGCTCGAGTAATTTAGAATGACTTTAATTAATTAATTAAATTAAAACAATAATAAAACGAACATAAAACTGTGAAACAATCTTTGCATATTTTAACCAAAAATGATATTCTTTTTTTATGTATCCTATCTTAACTAAAAATGCTTATTTCTTATGAAACTAAAATTTCTCAAAAAGTAAATTTTTTGGTTTCACGGGAATTACTTCATTTTGTATAAAATAGTAAAAATAATTTAAATACTCACCCAATCTGCATCCATGTCTAATGCCCATTGGAATTTTTCATGAAGACTTTTGTTAAAAATCTTAGCAATCGGTACTTCATACTTTTTGTAGCATGCTACAGAAATACATGGGTCTAAATAAATAATTTTTGATGTACCCAGTGCAGTTGTCTTATTGTATTCTTTATCTTGTTTCAATAATTTGGTGGTTTGATACATTCTGTCAATTTTTCTATTTGGCTCCAGAGTTTTTCACTTGTTTGTCCTTTTTTTAGGATTGACTTTGCCAGATTTCCATTCATTTTTCAACTCTCTCTCTTTTTCGTTGATGTCCTTTAATAATTTAGATATTTCTTGATCTTCTTCTTCTTCTTCTTCTTGTTGTTGTTCTTGACGTTGATGTCATTTTGTATTTTAGTTCAATTATACTATCATTTGTTTTCCCGAATTGTAATAATAATCTTTGTACAATATATCTAGATAAGATCTCATGTTATCCCACATGGCGCACTCAAAAAATAAAATTCAAGTTTTTTATTTTTTTTTATTTTTTAAACAATAAATTAGCATATACTTACTCGGGTCAGTAGGTGTAGCAACATTAAATTTAACCATTCTTTGTTGTTCATCCTCGTTCAACGTCTTAGCCATTCCACTTGTATCAATTCCCAGTTTCCCAATCTCGCTCGGCTTTTATTCTATTGGTTCATTATTATCTTCGGTTTGAAAATTTGTATCAGAATGAATCAGACCTGGATCAGATTTTACAAATATATCTTCATTTTAACAAAACAATTAGGCTCTCCTCCTTCTCGTTGAGATACGATGATGATTACTCCAATCTTTGATGATGAATTGTTGAAGGCAGACTATGTAGGCCTTTTCAATAGAATGCCGAAATCATGGTTTGAGTTAATACCACTTTTATATGCACTCTTTAGATGGGACGTTTTTGGCTTAGAAATTATACCCAATTTGCATAGAAAATTTTTGAGATATTCTCTCTTGAAGTTTCAAAACGATAGCAAAATTCCTTTAGATCTTTGTTTCGAAAAGGCCCATGTGATGTGTCAATTAATTTTTCATAAACTGACGATATATCATCATTAATATCATTATCATTATCATTATTCATGCGTATGAACTTAAAGTCCACACAGATTTCAAATTCACTTTTCATTATGACCAAGTCTTTTTAACTTACTTTATTAATTTTAGCTTCAGCCATTTCATAAGCTATGACTTTATCATCGATTTTGGTAGAAATATTGGTAATGCCTGTGGTGATGGCGGAGAAACTTTTCCTGACTTTTTTTTTTGACAACGCAATCAATTGTTTTAGAGTGGCATCTTTAACGATTTTTATCGAGAGATAAAACCGTTTAGTAGTAGAAATTGGGTGCAGTTGGTGATGTTAGAAATTATAATGCCATCAAATGGCGGTAATTTTTTTTCCCCTCTAATGCGATAAATAATCGTAAATCATTGGTTTTTTCTCAAAAAAACATTGTGATAAATACTTTTTTTTTTAAAAAAAAAAACAACTTCAATCGAATTGCCAGGAACTCCAAAGAGAACTTGAACGGGAAAATTAGCTACTATATTCAATTTCTTTTTCACCTCCTCTTCTTACCCTCTCTAAATCAAATTGATCAATTAAATATCATGTCTTTAATGTAATATAGTCTACATTTGTGGTACTGTTTTAACAATTCATGGTAAAAATATTACTATAACGGCATATTTAGCAGATTTTCGTAATCGTATCCTTTTTTGGTTTTTGTTTGTTTTTTTATTTTCAAGAGATACACGGAAAATAAAAATTACAAAAAATTTTTTTAATTATTAGTCTTTACTTTAATCTTTATTTTGATCTGGATCTTTATTTTGATCTTTATTTGATCTTTATTTGGATTGTTTATTCAATTACTAAATTGGAAGAGTTTTTTTTAAATATATATATTTAAAGATTCGCAAAGTCGAAGATAAATGTGGTTATTATTATGTCCATGATTCCTTTTGTTTATTATAAAAATATGTATACTTGTAATTTTCATATCATTATTTGGTTCTAAAAAAGCCCAATTAAAAATCAATTCTTCACAATTTGTCAATATCTCTAGCAAATAAAATCAATATTAAAATATTAGTTAATTACAAGAGTTATAGATACAAAAGAAAATGCAAAAATTGAGAATCTTATCATGGTTTGTTTTAATTGTATTTTATCTTTAAAATTTATTTATTTTTGTGGAATTTTGGTGAATATGTTTTTCTAAAATTGATGGAAACAATTCTTTTATATAAACACATGCTTCCAATTAGTTTCTAGAATGCAACATGAATCATTTACAGTCTATGTTTGTAAAGCAACAGTGGTATGTAAATATGTAAATACAAATATTTTTTCAAATAGCATTTTTTGAGAAATATTTAAATTAATTTTATTATTAACTCGTATTATTTTATGTGTGGTGAAGGAGTTTACACGCCACAGATAAATAATATCATTTATTCATAGAATGTATATTCAGAAAATTTATGTGTTTAATATAAAGTTACTGCCTTTCTATCAAAAATAAAAAAACCAATTGAATATCCGGAATCTAATAATCAAGGCAAACCACCATTCATAAATGACATTTTATATATTCTTCAAAAGTACCCCCAACAGCTTAGCATTACGTGTTACTATCATGTCTTGATTCAGTATTAATGAAACAAGTCTGGGATCATTAAAACAATACATCAACCAATGAAGATCAGCAACATGGACAACGTCATGAAATCTATGTATGCGAGTGCCACTATGTCGCATGATATAGAATAGTAAATCCAATATTACCAGAAACATCCTTAAAATTTTTATTTGAAATGCTATCAATCAAGGAATGCCAGAAGTAGGTGTTTCAAGTACTGCGGATCTCCAAATGCTATTGAAAGCTTGCATAACACAACAAACTCCACCTGCTGTTTCTTTTCTTTACCATTGGGTAGTTTTTTATATATCAAGGGTTTCTTATTAGCAAGAGTACTGTTAGTAATAATGTTTTCAAAGGTAAATAAATAAATACAATTAATTAATTAATTCATGACAATAATGATGAGAAATTACTCATGAAAATTTATTCTTTAATAATTCTTTTAAATGTGCATATATAAATGTTGATTTTTTCCAAATAACTATTAACTAATGATTCTATTTTGTAATTTCTATAATATTATATTATTAATATTATTAATAAATGATTAATTGTTCTAACGTCGATATATAATATTGGCTCCACCAAGCTACATTTCAAAAGTAAAAATTTTTTATTGCATTTGTTAATTTATAGTAATAATGATAATAATAATAATAATAATAATAATATATGGGATAATACATACATCAATAATTTCGATTTCTTGTGGTGAAATATCTTTTCTTTTATATTTTAATGGTAAATCTGAATAATCGTAATACGTCTGAGCATTACTATCAGATTTAGATTTATTTGAAGCAGAAGCATTAGTTGTAATATCTGAACGAGTTAAAGATTGAGAAGGCAGAGTTGAACCTTTTGGAGCTGCTGGATGAAGTTTTGGATTCCCATTAATTGAACCTTTGTTATTCCATTTGTTGTTATAATAATTAATTAATTAAACATTTTAATTATTGTGAATTATAATAATTATTATTGATTGAGTGGTGGGTGGATATGCGATTACCTTTATTCAATTTACTCCTTGGACCTAAAAATTTTATTAATGGAACATGTTTATGTAATGCATTTAAAACAGAACTTGGTCTCATAATTTAAAAAAATTATTTAATATTAAAAAGATTGAAAATTAAATCTGCGTCACCTACCGTATTTGTGATATTTGTGGTTGCATTAATATTTATATTAAACTGACCGACTGGTAAAAAAGATTCATAAGAATTGTGATGCAGCATTTCCTCAGCCTCTATCTAACTCAATTATGGTATTTAAAAATTAAATTTCGTGCACCTTGTAAAATTTATATATAAATTTTGAAAATTTTAGATCTTGCAGTCTGTGAGATTGATGGGATTATTATTTTTAACTGAAGCAAAGCTTGCAACAGAAGGCGTATTCTTACAATGGTTTTTTTTTTTGCTTTACTAATCATGTTTACTATGACCAGTTTTTTTCTATTTTAAACCAATTGAATTCGACCCAACACAACATAATAATAATAATAATAAAAAGATACTTTGTCATATGTGACAAATTCAAACGTTTAAATGAGTGAAGAAGAGGAGGTTTCGGTGATTGAGAGAGGAAGAATAATTACATACAGCAGCTGAAATAAATCAAAATCAAGAGCTTTGGAAATCAAAGTTTCTGTTGCAATTCCAGCTGCTGAAATTATTGAATATGGTGATCCAAAATTTGATGAAGAATCGATCATAGAAAATGCAATGATAATTGATTGAATTATAAATTTTAAGATTGATGAAGTTTTAGAAATTTTTTAAGTTTTGAACCAAAGGTTAAAGATAATAATTTGAGATGACATACTGCAAGTAATTTGGGATTTTTAGTCTATTAATGTCATCGCGAGAAAACTACTACTACTATTACTATACAATACCACAGTAGATTGCGTAAAATATCTAGTTAGTGCTGTTGGATTGAATAAAACCCAATGCTATGGTACTGGAAAAGACTTTCAGTATTTTGATATTAAATATAAAGTATATATTTTTTTAAGAAATTAAATGGTATCAACATTTTCTTGTGAAGCTCAAGAGATCGATCCCTTCTTTTGTGCTTTCCATGGACCTTTAAACGTCAAGAATATTATTCAACAGTAAAAAATCTGTGCGCGCAATTCACATACGTGAAAATTAAAATTAGCCAATCAAAAAGGAATATCGACCTAAAACACCCTTCCATGTTTAGTTACTCGCTCATGCAATTTTTCCCTCGTTTTAAATTCACATGTATTTAAACATTGTGTAACTTCTAAATTTTTTTTTGATCTTTGAAATTTTTCCTTTGCAATAATATAAAAATATATATTTTTTTTTTCACCATATATGGCATTAAGTTTAAATCATTATAATAAAATTTTGGTATTGAAAAAGAACAATTTACCCAAATTATTTTCAACAATTTGGATAATGAATAGAGCACGAAAGTCAACAGTTATAATAGCTAATAAATCATCATCAATCACATCATCATCAATCACATCATCATCATCGTCATCATCACTACCACCACCCTCATCGCCACCATCAGATAAATCTTTAACTTCAAAAACAATTCCAACTTTCTTTGAAAGATTATTTAGTAATTTTAGTTTTGTTAAGAGTTCGCTGCTTAATGATAAACAAGATAAAATTAAATTATCATTGCCAATAACATCATTATTTAATAATAATAATAACAATAACAATAACAGTAAAAATAATAACAAAGAAAATACTTGGGATCAAGCAATAGCTGAAGCAGAAAAATTAGTTCAACATAAAGGTGGATCATATATTGATCCTATGAAACTTGTTGGTGCAGATATAATAGATTTAACTAAAAATATAAAAAGACTTTTGGGTAGCAAACATCCTTTATTAGACACTGTTAGTAAATATTATTTTCTAACTGATGGAAAACATATAAGGCCTTTGATTGTGTTGTTAATGTCTCAAGCAACCAGTATAGCTGACAAAAATTATAATTTTACACAAAAAGATTCTTATAAAATAATAGATGAACAATTATCACCAATCAATTTCAAACTTAATGACACCACCACCACCACCACTACCACTGTTTATTCTTCTTTAAATCAAAATAATGATGAAAAAGATGACCTTTCTGCTCTTTATTATCCTTCTATTTCTCCTACTACAGGTGCAACAATTCTTCCTACTCAAAGACGTTTAGCTGAAATAACTGAGATGATTCATACAGCTTCACTTCTTCATGATGATGTGATTGATTTGTCAGAGACACGTCGTAATCAACCATCAGCAAATATGAATTTTGGTAATAAGATGGCTATACTTGCTGGTGATTTCTTATTGGCTCGTGCATCAATAGCATTGGCAAGATTACGTAATCCAGAAGTTATTGAATTATTAGCTACTGTTATTGCTAATTTAGTTGAAGGCGAATTCATGCAATTGAACAATATAAAATTATCATCACCATCATTATCATCATCATCATCAAAAAATTCTATGACAACTTTTGAGTATTATATGGAAAAGACTTATATGAAGACTGCAAGTTTGATTGCAAAAAGTTGTAGGGCTGCTTCAATACTTGGTGGATCAACAGTTGAAGTGTGTGATATTGCTTATAATTATGGTAGAAATTTAGGATTGGCTTTTCAAGTATGTTTTCCTTGTTGACTTTTTTTCCCCTATAAAATTTTCATGATTTTTATCACAAAAATAAAATAGTAAATAAATTTTAAAAAAAGGGGGTTTTTTTAATTAATTTTAGCTAGTAGATGATATGCTTGATTTTGTCATAACATCAAAAGATCAATTAGGCAAACCGGTAGGAGCAGATTTAAAATTAGGATTAGCAACAGCGCCAGTTTTATATGCATGGGAAGAATATCCTGAAATTGGTCCATTGGTTAAACGTAAATTTTCTGAAGAGGGTGATGTTGAAATGGTTTGTAATTAATAATAACATAAAAATAAAATTTTAAAAAAACTCTATTATATTAAATAATAACAAGTTCTCTCATTCATAAATAAATAAATAAATAAATAAATATATCTATATATATTTGTATAGGCAAGAAAATTGGTTTATCAGAGTAATGGAATTGAAAAAACAAAACTTTTGGCTTCTTCACATTGTCAAAAAGCAATTACAGCAATATCACAATTACCAGAATCTGATGCACGTGATGCATTAATACAGTTGGCTCATAAAGTTTTAATAAGAAAAAAATAGAGATGGATAGACTTTTTTTAATATATTTATTTTATATATATGTATATATATATATATATATATTGTAAAATTACATAATAGATTTTAATAATTTGTATTAGACAGAATTTATTCATAATCTCTCTCTATAACATACAGTATATATTTAGTATATATGTATGTTTTTAAAATAAAACACTCATTATCGATTTTTTTTTGATATAGAGAGAAAAAAATTTTATTATCAATCATTTTTGTGCATTAAAAACATCTCGGACACTTGTATAAATCAGTTTTTTTTACCTGATGATGTATGACGAAACTTTTGACTTTAGTCATTGACGTAACTAAAGTACTGACTAAAGGTAGTTTCTCGCCGGGCCATCTGACGATTTGACTAAAGTAAAAGTCCTTGTCGTAAGTAAAACTACTTTACGTAATTAAAAACACTTGACGTAAGTAAAAATGCTTGATACAAGTAAAGCACTTGATACAAGCAGCAATAATGATAATGTGGACCCTGGGGATGAATAAAGAATTATTATATCATTGTATGTATATTGCAGGAAAAAGAATTATCTGGAAGTTTACAAATGTTATAATTTGAATTAGAACTTTTTACCAAATTAAACTACTCGTTTTTTTCCGTATATTTTTCTTTCAAAATAAAAATGCCTCTTCTTTTTTACAAATTAAAACTATCCTTTTATTATTTACATACATATGAGTTGTGTTAAATTAATATTCTTGACTTTTGAAGTTAACTGCGCGTAATAGTGATACGCAATAATATTAATAATGCGCTTGAGCTGTCTTTTAATATCTGAGTTTGAAGCAATATAGATCAATCAACATTGGTACTTAGAACGACCTTTACATAGCACATAAGATAGGTTTTGGTTACATATTTTTGTAAGTTTTAATTTCGTTTCCTATTTTTATCACTTTAAATCTTCAAAAAAAATTTTTTTTATTGTTGATGATGATGAAAGTTTAAATGATGCAATTTTTTCCTTATCAACAAATTGTTTGTTACACATCACTCAATTCTCCGCAAAAATCTCCACATTTATTAAAGCACCAAGTCGAATTTTTTTATATTTTATATTTTATAATGTCATATGCTAAACTCTTATCATCGTTATCACCGGAAAGAGAGAATTTTGTATATAAAATTTATAATGAAATACTTGGTAACACTAATGCTAATTCTGATGGAGAAAGTAGAAAAGATTATTTTTGTTCATTAGTCAAAAAAAACAAGGAGCTTTTTGAAAATGAAAGACAATATTGTAAAGAAAGGTTTATTTATGAGTTTGAATTAGATAATGCAAGAAATAAACGGGACAAACCAAAAGAATGTAACAAGTGTAAATTGACAAGATACTCTGATAGGTTCTGTGAAGGTTGTATTAGTTTACAAT